AGAGCCGCACCCCAGCCTCTTTTGGACTGGTGTCACTGACAGAAGCGCCCCTAGAGTTCACCTGCAAGGTGACTCGGACACTTTTCAGGCTACCTGGAACCTCGTCACATACTTGGCTGGTGGCCTCGCAGGTCCTGGGCTGCTAGACGCCACAGCCTGACCACCAGTTGTTGCCGATGTGAGCCTGCGTCCACGGCAGCCCCACAGCCAGCCCTGCTACCACACTGACCCAGCGGGGTCTCCCACTCCTCATCCGGGCAGGGTGTCAGGAGCTGTAGTACGTGAAGCCGGGAGGACTGAGACCATCAAGGGAATGGCATGTCCCAGGCCCCACCCACCCTGCCCTGAGTAAGCTGTGCCTGAGGCTGAAGGTGGGAACCACCCACAGGGTGGACATAGCCATTTCTCCTGCCTCTGCAGGTGACCATGGCTTAACAGCTGCGTGGTGGGGCGCCTGTCGAACTCTGGACAATTCTTTCCATAAAGTCTCAGCAAAGCCTTCCTCTGAGACACAGAGGGAAGCTGCTTGATGGACACCTGCTGGCAGCAGAGGAAGGACCCCACTTTCTGCTAATGATACCACAGCAATCCCTAAGAGGACTGTGGCTGGGCTCAGTGTAAGAGCACCTCCCAGCAGGTGCAAGGCCCTGGGTTCCAACCCCAGCAGGCAAGCAACATATAGTCATGGTGGCACAAGCTCATCCCAGTGTCTCAGGAGGCTGAGGCAGGAGGCTCTCAAGTTGGAGGCCAATCTCAACAACTTAGTGAGATCCTCAACAGTTCATTGAGATCCTGTCTCATATAAAAAGGACTGAGGGTGCTGCTCAGTGGAAAAGTGCCCCTGGTTTCAGTATCCAGTAGCAAAAATAAAAATCCTTGAAAGAGAGAGAGAGAGAGAGAGAGAGAGAGAGAGAGAGAAAAGCCGAGGGCTAGGGGTGTGGCTCAGTGGTAGAGGTCTTGCCTGGCACGCACCAGGCCCTGGGTTCCAACCCCAGTACCACAAAACAAACCATGCAAGGTGGCACACACCTGCAGGCCCAGCACTGAGAAGCCAAGGGAGGAGGACTGCAAGTTCAAGTTCAAGACCAGTTTGGGCAACTTGGTGAGACCCTGTCTCAAAAATCAAATAAAAAAGGGCTGGGTCACTTTATCAGTGAAAAAGTACCCCAGGTTCAATCCCAGCAGGGCAGTAAATAAATAAGTAACAAGTGTGCTCTAATCCCTGGGGTTTACTGCAGCCTTAGCAGAGCCACAAGTGGAGGGAAGCCCATTTCTTCTGTTCTGATGAGGCACACGCCAGGCCTGACAGAGCTCGGAGACAATGACATGATTGAAGGGAGCTAATGCCCGTCCCAAGAACATTCTCCCAAGAAGCAGTCCCCACATTCTAATCAGGCTAAAAACTACAGGGAATGAGTCTGTACTCCAGCATAAAATCTGCTGGAGGCTACGGTGGTGACCTCCTTTCCTATCACCTCTAAGGTACCAGTGCATTTATTTAGATCACAGATTTTATATAGTAATTAACTTCTGCTTTTTTAAAAATATTTTTTAGTTGTTGATGGATCTTTATTTGGTGTATATGTATATGGTGCTGAGAAGTGAACCCAGTGCCTCTTGCATACTAGGCAAGCGCTCTACCACTGAGCCCTAGCCCAACTTCTGCTCTTCTAAAACTGGAAATGTAAACTAAAACTAAATAAAAATAAAAATAAACAGAACCCAAACTCGCCAGCTGCCTGGACGTCCCAGCTGTCCCAGGACTCCCTCTTCCTCTGTGCGATACTTCACTGGAGCAAAGCAAACCTCCAGAACAGGGTCAGCCCTCCGCAGCATGGGGGTCAAATCCGGAGGCCGCCTGGTTCTGTGAATAAAATGTCACTAGAACACGGCCACACTCACTCCTTTGCGTCTTGTTCACGGCTGCCTTCCTGCAGCCATGTGTCAAGGACCCCACGGCCCGAGGTTAAAAGTACTGACAGTTCACACAAACTGAGTTTGTCACTTACACCTGGAAGGTCATCTGCTCCATCTAGTAAATCTCTGAGATCTTGAAAGAGAAGCCTGGTTGAGTCTTTAACATTTATTTCAATGTTTTCTTTTCCAAAGCTCCATTCTTCGGGTTTCTGAGGGCTTGGTCTTAGCTACCAAGTTCTGGAGGTGCCTTCTCCCACTCAGCTCAGGTCTACAGGGTATGAAGCTACAAACTCAAGTGCACCTGTTCACCACTCGATTAAAATGTACCAAGCACCGGCTGGGTGACAACTTACACTGGGGGCACGAAGGGGACTCAAGACACAAAGGAGGATAGAATCCAACTCCTGTGCTCTCGAGCAAGGCAGGCTGCATACCCAGGGCAGAAACACAGGCAACAGAGGCAAGAGAGAGCGGGACACCCCGTCCAGGGCACATGGGGAGAGTGAGCAACTGTGGGGGGCGAGGGAAATGAAGGCACCTTCCAAGCTCTGCAGCCCGAGGAGGGAAGGGAATTTGCAGGCTGAGGCCCTGGGCTCAGGGCAGCAGACCTCAGGGGATAAGCAACACACAGGAAGGGCAGGCAGGGTGCAGCTCAGCAGGGAAGTGCTTGCTGGGCCTGCGCAAGGCCCTGGGTTCAATCCCAGCACTTAGGGGAAAAAAATCAGGAAGGCCGGAAGAACCAGGATGCACTCTGAATTGTTTATCACTGCAAATCACCACCAAGAAAAAAGGAAAAAGTCTGCTCAAGTCGTTCAGCTGCAGCTGTGAGCTGTCTCCAACTGGCCAATTTCCAATTTCATACCCAGACATCTGTTTAACTTTAAAATTATCAGCACAAAAATAAAACATCTTTTTTTTTCCTTAAAACACACAAAGGTCGACTCACATGCTTTTATAGAATGGCTATTATCAAAAAGACAAAAATAGCCAGGCTTGTAATCCCAGCTACTTGGGAGGCTGAGGCAGGACTGAAAGTTGGAGGTCAGCTTGGGCAAAGGAGGAAGAAGCGCTCCCAAAATAAAATTACAAAGAAAGGGCTGGGAGTGGCGCTCAGTGGTGGAGCGTTTGCTTAGCACGTGTGAGGCACTGGGTTCCATCCCAGGACACACATACGTTTTAAAAAAGAAGAAAAATGTACAATGCTGGTAGGAATTCCAAAAGAGGGGAACTCATACACTGTTGGTGGGATTGTGAAGTAGTACAGCCACTGTGGGAAACAGTATGGAGGCTCCCCCCAAATCTGGAAACAGAAACCAGGTATGGTCCATGTGCTCCAGCAATCCTACTGCTTGGTGCACATCCGAAAGATCAGAATCTGCACTTGTATTGCAATTCTACAGCACCGCTGGCAATAACTGGAATAAGGAACGCTTCCAGATGTGGAACAGGAGATGGTGGATAAAGGAAATGGGGCACATATACACACTGGAATATTATTCAGTCATGAGGAAGGACGTTCCGTCACTTGCAGCAGCATGGGTGGAATTGGAAGACTATGTTAAGTGAAATGGGCCAGGCACGGAAAGGAATGTTCTTATATTTCACAGTAGATAGCAGAGGCTGGCACGAGTGTGGGAGGAGGGACAGAGGGACGGCCAACAGTAGGTAATGCTCTGTAGCACAGAAGCTTAATTGCGGTTGACAACAGTTGTGTATTTTAAAACAGCAGAGAATCCCGAATGTTCCTAATACAGAAATGATAAGTACTTGGGGTGATGTCAATCACCCTGATCTGGTCATCACCACACTCTGCAGACACCTATGAAGAGGTCACACTGTACCCCTAAACAAATACAATTATGCGTCAATTAAGAACAGGGCTGGGGATACAGCGCAGATGGTAGAGCGCCTGCCCCGCAGGCACAGGCCTTGGTTCCATCCCCAGCACCACAAAACGAACACAAAGGACAAACAGCATGGGCTTGGAGCAGACAACACAGCCCCGGAGGCTTCTGTCCCCCTGGAACTCGAAGCCGGAACCGCGACGGGTCGCACTCCTGGCTTGAGCCTTTCCCTCCCCCGTCGCCCGGCGCGCAGCAGACCCAGACAAAACCACCCGGGAGCGAGTGACGTCGGGGGCGGAGCCCGAGCAACGACGGCGGCCCCGCCTCCCCATCCGGCCAATCAGGCGCGTCGGCACGCAGCGCAGGCGCCCCTCGTACGCCAGGCGGAGCGTGACCTCGCGCGCACCGCGGGCAGGCGAGTCTCTACCCCCACCCC